AGTCTATTAACCGGCAGTTGACTTCTGACTCCAAATTACCCTGACCCCACTGTATGTCGAATTCGACCACTTCAACAATGCTCCCCTTACCTCTTCTCGACATTTGTGTCTGTCTGTCTCTTGTACCTCAGCCAATCACTTTTCTTTCCCCTCTCGATTTTTTCTCGCTATGATTTTCCTCCCCTCTGTGAAGTCCGAAGTCAGCTAAAAGGCTAATGATAACTATCAAAACGCCTGCCATTTGATATAAATGAAAAATATTATGATATCAATGATATATCATTCATGAAATAGTTTCGGTTCTAATTGGAAGTTCACAACTTTCTTATATTCTCATCACAGAGTAAAATACCATGTTGGTGGCACTGATTCCTCCTTATTAAAAGTAATTCACACCGATTGAAATATTGTCTAGGCCGTCATTAAAACGATGGATTATTGTGACAATAGTTGTGCACTGATGAAACTGATAAGACAATATTGCCATAAACTGATCTTGAGTTTCTGAGGCAACGTCATAAAAATAGTTGCCAAGATTTGAAATCCACTTTTCTCTCTCCCCCCCAATTTGGTCACACAGGTCTGCTTAGAGACCGACAGTTTGTGCGTAAATTGTGATTTTTACAAGTAAAAATAACTGCTTTACCATTTGAGAGGAGATTATTCCACTTTCTCTCATCTGGATTACATAATGTAGGCTGCTCTTTTGTACTATTTACTAAATGAAAGTAGCTTAACTTGTGTTGAAGTTGAATTTCTTAAGTAAAATATCATAAATGCTCTTAGAATACTAGTACGACATGATTATGAAACCTTAATCCTTATAGAACACTAATTCAATCGAAAATGGAGATACTTGACCCAACATTGATGGAATTCGTGCCAAAGTGGTTGATATTAATAAAAATTTGTTTGCATTGCATAAATTCACTTGAAAACAAGATGAATAAAAACCAGTAAAGTGAAGTACATTATATTCATTTACAGATCTTAGAAGACAAATGATTACCATTATCATTCCTATCATTAACTGCCTTTCATTTAACTTCGTGGGAATGCATTGTGCATCCACATTCTTTAAGATTATATGAGATTTAGTGAGAATGGCTTCACATCCACCTAAATCGACATTTTTAAGGTAGACATAGTGCCTTGCATTCGGTACCACCTCCTTCAAGTCGGCCAACCATGCGCAGTTTGGACTTGAGATGAATGTTGAACATTTCTACTCTCACCCGCTATTTGTAACTCTGCAAGTGCATTGCTTAACTAGAGAGGGAGAGAGAGGTTTCTGCGTGGAACAGATGAGATGGGTGAAATGTTTCCTCTATAAATTTGATTAATATTACTTTAGACAGAGAGGGGTGTGCGATAGACCTACTCCACGTGGTGCTCCCTGGGCAACGTATACTCGTATGGCAAAAAGTCCATTAACCGGCTGTTGACTCCTCACTTCAAACTACCATGATCTGACTCTACTATATTCCACCACTTCCATAGTACTCATCTCACCTTACCTTTTCTCTGCCTTTGTGTCAGTCTGTCTCTTTTACATCTATGATTCACTCTTATGTTCCCCCTCCCTCTCGACTTTTTCACCTTGATGTTCCTCCTCTTTGTAAAACCAAAAGTCAACTAAAGGGCTAACGATAACTGCCATAAAGCCGGCCAACTGACACAAATACTTTAGACAGAGATGGTTCGACTTGGTTTGAGAAGGGTTCGGGTGCTTAAATTTATGATTGAAGTAATTCAGTGAATGACACTTGAATTAAGCAATAAGCAAGCAACAAGGGAAGAAATGCAGAAATGACTGCTAATTGGAGGAGAAGCCGATTGGATGACCACGTTAAGGTGCTTATAGGCTTTCTACTGCTATTGTGCGATTGAACCCTTTGTATGTATTAATGAAATTCGATGCTATTTGGGGGAACAAAGTATCTTTCGTACATAATCAATTACTTATCTTCTGAAAACGGTAAGTTGATACAAGCACATATAGTATGCAGTAACTGAGAAAATTCAATCATTACTCAACGAAGCATGCTAGTGCTCATGACTTTGCGAAAACCCGTATAACTGAGTCGCGGTTTATGACATGTTAATAAAACTGATTGCTCACTTATATGCTGTTTTATTCATTTTTAATTTGCGTATTTAAAATTTACATTCAGGCACTTTGTTGATGGTCATATATGTCCATTGGACAATAGCTGCTGTACATATTTCAACATAGTTACAGCTTCTGAGGCAAGAGGGGTCATTGAATGTAACTTTATTGGCATTACTCCGCCTCATAGAGCCTCAAGTCTCCTTGCAAAAATATAGAATGCAAGACTAGTATGATGACGAATTCAGAGCATATGAAAAGGTAATTTTAGAGGATAAAATAATTTCTGTTTATTCAAGCGGGCTTACTCGCAACTGTTTGATTTTAACAACGAAAATGTGCCCAGGTTTAAGATTCTAATAGTCCGTTTCATCGGAATGATTAATTGTCAGGTGGATGAAGATACTGGCACACACGCACATCTCTCTGACCTGCCCGTTAAGAGGGGAATTTGGTACGTTGATAGTTAATAAACAACGAATATAATTAGTCTACTACTGATAAGAATTTAGTAGCATATGTATATTAAAATTTCAGCAAGGCAAATTGTCTTCACGCAATCTGCTGGCATCGAGGAAGAGGGCTCACCTACGTGTTTTCAAGCCACGACAGGAGAATGGAGAGTGTGACAGTGTGTCTCCGAAAGATGAAAAGATCAACGCAAACATCTGTACGTAGTAGTGGGGATATTCATTTCGCTCTGATAAGTTTGAAATGCCAGGAAGAGGTAGCCAACCTTGTCTTGGCACTCACACCAACACCCCTATTCCAACAAGAGTTCAATAGCACAAATTCAGCTCTTCACCCCAATTGATTCATCAGCAAGTAGAAATTCTATTCTTGAATTCCGACAGTGCTATTTTTCAAATTATTTTGACTGTAGTGATCGAGGATATAATTTTAATTTACTTTTTTGAACTCCTATTATGTAAGGTTACTATTGGGGCTAAAAGGTCAATCTAATTAACGAAAGTGTGTGTATGTGCGTTCGTATAATTGAAAGCCCTTAAAGTTCAGAATTCACACTCACCTTCCTTCAAATGTAACATTACCATTTCAACTAATTTTTGCTGTCTTCTCACAATTCGCAGAAACATGCCAATCTCCAACTTATCCTATCGATCTATCTATCAGACTTCCCTTAGCAGCAATACCTGTTAGGGACTTCTCGAGAACACGGCACCTCAAACAGTGCCTTTAATTAGGGTTGAGAAAGGATGGGTTGCTAGCTGTTTGTTTTCATTTTAAGTCTAGCATGCAAGATAGTGACATTTGAGGATATTTACAAACGCCTCTTCATTCAGCAAACAAATAAATGCAATACAATAACTATTTTAGAGATCGTGGCCTAGATAGATGTTAAAGGGTACCGCTTTAACGGCCTTGTCAACTCATACCCAAAGATCACATGATGAATACAAGTAATAACTCTGCAAAATGGTTTTACTCAACACGCTAATCTTCAGAGCCAGGTACTTAAATGTCTTGATTTTAGGCCATTTAAGTGTTGTTTGAGTGGATAGGCCTATTATCGAAAAGGTCGCCTCAGGAGACATATGTAGAAGACTCATCCTCTCTGTCCGATTGGACAAAATATCATGTATTCAAGTATCTTGCGAAAATTTTAGTACTTAAGCATTTAAATAAAAGCATTCGCGTGTTGAAAATTAATATGCGAATCAATTAAAACACACCGACGCAATTTAACGGATGCCACGCTATAATAAGATAACTTGTCCACCAATCTAGATGTAAAAGAGAGAGATAGACAAAAAGGCAGAGAAAAAGCAAGACGAGTACTGTTGGAGTGGTCGAATTTGACATACAGTGGGGTCATGGTAATTTCGAACATTGTTTCCAGTTTCCTATTCGATTCACGTCAGTTCATAATTTGAACATCAAGGTTATTGGTCAGGGATTAACAAAATTGACGTTGAAATGGCGAATTCACTGATAATTGTATTCCATATTATTTCACCCTCCCCTCCACCTCCCTCCCTCCCCCTCCCTCCCCC